CTAAAGAAATAGTCTCTCTTTTGTTCCCTTGAGTTCTCTGCTCCTCAAGTGGAACCCCCTCCCTGATGCCCCTATCTGATTTCAGGAAAGGAAAATGAAACCAGGAGAGAAATGGAACAAAGAGCCTAGAGTGGGTTTGAGTGGAGGAAGGGTGCTGGGAGAGAGGAACAAGTGAGGAAGAGAATGGGATGAGAGAGGGACAAGAGGTCCCTGGGGGACAGGCCTAGCTGGCTCCAGGGAGGGCAGCCCTCTCCCTGTGCTGGGCACTGCATGCCCCCAGAGCTGGGCTTTCTGAACATTCTTGTCTTTCACAATAGTCCAGCTCTGAAACTGACTGGTGTCTCTTCACAGGCTTGTCACATGTGCTGTCTGAACCTCAAATACTAACTTCCCTTCCAGCCTCAAAGCTGATCACATCAAAGTTGACCAAAATCAACTGCAAATTAATTGCATCAAAAGTGAATCATTGAAATGAAAAGAATAAACAGTGATAATTGGATTTCCTGGGATGTGAGGTCCAGGTCTTGCAGAGAGGAGCAAAAAGGCTGGTCAGGGCAGGGATAAAACCCACATCTTGGCCCCCAAGGAAAGGCCACACTAAAACACTGGTCACAACAGACAACAGAAATTAGATGCTGGTTTATGTGGAAAAAACTGGGGTAATCAGAGAGGGCTTCTTGGAGCAGGTGGGAATTTGTGCTGGATCTTAAAGAGATGATCTCCAGGGTAGGGTATGCATACCCCAGAGGATGTGCAGGACATAATACTGGGGCATAGAATCAAAATAATTCAAGTTCTATTTAGATTTACATTTTATTTGAAAAACAGGATTATGGATATTTAATATACAGATTGACAGTTGTACACTGGTTTAATTAACCTAAAAACTTACACACATGGGAGGTATATGTTATCTTTTTTTTCTTATAGGAGTGTGCATTTTAAAAGGTTCAGAGACTAAAATTGCCTTGAAGAATGGAGCCTAGGATAAGCAGAAATCAGGATGAGTGTCCATGGGGCCTTGGAGAGGGTGTGAGGTAGGGAGCCAGAAAGCCCTTCTCTTAGCCTGTGTCCTGCTGGGAGCCAAGGAACCCAGGCCCAGTGGTCCATGTCCTGCCTTCCTCAGGTGGCCAGCTCCACGGTGAGCCTCCTCCCTTGGTCAGGCCCTACTTAGAGGGCAGCCACCGGGGAGGGGTCTTACAGGGCCGTGGCTGAAGCCTGCCACCAATTCTGCATCCGCAGTAGCCCTGATCCCCGAGCTCTATGGGAAGAATGCCGGGAGCCCACAGCCTGTGGAAAGGGCCCAATGCTAGCCGCGACCTTTGGGTTTGCCTGCTATGCTGGTGCCCAAGCCAGAGGGTATAGGGTGTCCAGTCCCTCAGAGGCACAGCAGCCCCAAAGCTGCAGATGGCTATATAAGGCTGAGGCCGCAAGAGGTGGCAGGGGCTGCCAGACCCCAGGAACAATTTGGCGGGTCTTGGTGGTGACGCAAACATTTTCCCTGTGCTTAGGCAGCTCTCCCCTCGCAGCAAGACTGAATCATATCCTCAAAACCGCAAGCCTGACAGGCACACGTAATGTTAGCACTCGAGAATGGCGGGAGGGCTGACCCAGGCCCTTCCTTCATGGCGAAGAGATTTGAGGCAACAAAGAGAACGCTGTCCCAGGAGACGAGTCCCAGCTCTCTGCCACAAACAAACTGTGGGGCATGGGTCAGCTCCCCTCTCAGGGCCTCAGTTTCTGCATCTGTAATATGGGGACAGTAAGCCCTGTTCTGCTACCTTATGTAGTACCACGGAGAGATCAGACATAAGGGGCGGCTCTTGTTCTTTAAAAAGGACAGAGCCTAGTCTTGTAGCAAATTCAGGCAGAGACTTGGCGGATTTATTGCCTGAATGTCGCACGTTGGCCATTACCAGGCCCCATGGCTTCTAAGCCACCAGTCTTTGTGCATAGCTCACCTTAATCCAACCCCTTCTGCTTCATGGTGTCTTTTACATCTGTGACTTCCCACAGTGCCCCTGAGAGGCAGGCAATTGATAACCCCATTTCACAGCCAAGAAAACCAAGGTCTGGAAAGTTTAATAACTTCTCAAAGCCACACGGCAAGCAGGTGACCGAATCCGGATGAAGAATCAGCCCCTGGATTCTCAGCCCAAAGATCTCACCTTGTGTTGTGGACTCCTCCAAGCAGGCCATGGGTCCTCAGAGTCCTGATCTGTAAAATGGCACGAATTGTGAGGAGTCTACCTGGTCAGCCTACTGGGTGTTTTCTAGAAGACACATGAGGTAGCTTTTCTAGAAGATGGCTATGGTTTTCTTACCTACAACCTATTGTGCCTGATCCTCCCAGAGGCACCCTGCAAGCTGTTCTCAAAGACTCTCTTTCCAGAAAGCGCTCCCATCAGACAGGGTGTCCTGGAGGGAACCTTCTTCTGCAAGACTTGGTTACATATCAGGTTGACCTTGAACAACAGAGCAGCCAGCAAAGCAAGCTTGGCACCTAAGCCTCTCACACTGACATATCTCTCTCTATGTCTTTCTCTGTCTCTCTGTCTTTCTCTCTCTGACTGAAAGAAAAAAAAAAAAAAAGAATAAATTTGACCACACAATCCCTTGCAGAATTAAGTAGCCAAAAATCACATCGTCTAGACAAACAGATTTTATGAGTCCAATTAATTCCTGCCAGTCAAAAATGGGCATGCTTAATAAGGGATATATTTAGAATCTGTCATTATCTGGTCTCCAGGGGAGAAACCTCAGCTCTTATTTCATAGACTCTTAATTTCTAACAGAGCTCTATTAACTCCCACGTCAGACCTCGCTTTCTTTCTGGACAGCACAGAGAGTGTGGGAGCGGGAACCGGGGCCAGGGAGTTTCACCAAAAGAAGCTACCAAAGTCCTGTGGAGCCCGAACCTCCAGGCCTGTCCCCTCTCAACCCTCTTAAGTCAGAAAATAAGTGATTTCTTCTTCTTTGGGCCACGTTGCCAGGGGTGGGAAGCTGCTGGGAGGGCAGGGCTCCAGAAAGATCATCTTGCTCCCAGTGTCTCACTGTACCTGTGCCCCAACCTCCATCGTCACCTACTCTGTCCCGCAGGGTCTTGGAGACCTCTCAGGCTGTGGGAGCTGGGGCACCTCCTGCAATTCCAGCGCAGCTGTCCTGGGAGGGGTCCATTCTTCAGGCACTATTAGCACTAGGGCCTGAGCAGAGGAGGCAGTTGCTGGCTGAGAGCTGGACTGGCACCCAAAGCCTAGAAGGATACAGATGTGCCAGAGGCAGGCGGCACTGACACAGTAGGCAGGTGGTCACTGAAGGGAAACCCTGACTGCTTTCAGGTTTCACTTTATATCAGCACCGGCTTTCCAGCCGGAGGTGAGGCATAGAGGGGGCGTTGGGGAGCCTTAAGGAGAGGGCCTGGGGGCCATCCAGGCTCAGGTGGGATTCTCTCTTGCCTCAAGGGAAGTGGTACTACCAGGTTTAGCCCTGTCAGGAAGGAGTGGCCACTCATATTTTCTAGAAGCATGTAAGCAAGTGTATTAATTTCCAGTGGGTGCATAACAAATTAGCACAACATAGATGGATTACAAAAACAGAACTCTATTTTCTCACAGTTCTGGAGGCCAGGCGTTCAAAACAAGGTGCTGGCAGGGCTGTGCTTCCTCAAAAGGTTCTAGAAGAGAATCCTTTGCGTCTTCCAGCTTCCGGCAGCCCCAGACATTCTTTGGCTTGTGGCAGCGTCATTCTTAGCTCTGCTTCTGTCTTCTCATGGCTTTCTCTTCTTGGTCTCTCCTTTGTGAGTCTCTTATAAAGACACTTATTGGATTTAGGGCTGTTGGGGGAAAGCCCCAAAAGTCTAAATTCAGGATTGGTTCCGCAAAACTGACATGGAGTCTTATTCAAATTCATAAGAGTTTTAAAAGGAGGAACTTACATACCCAGGCAAAGCAACTGCGCTCCCAGTGGTGACCAGCCAGGAATTATCCACTCCCCTCCCAGGACAGGGTCTCTCTTTTATAGGGTGTTAATAGTAAAAGCATATGGTGGGTAGTTACTTAGACCACCAGAAAGAACAATGCATTTCTGTTAGCAGATAACATCAGGCAGTTATCCACACTCTATACATTCATTAACCTCCTTCCTGGGGCCTGACTTTATCTTTGGGCAGCATTCTGGCTTTCTGGGTAGTCGACCAAGCCTGAGGCTACAGAGAGTTAAACAGTCACAGAAGGTTGAACACAGAGAGTTCAACATTTCCCAGACACCTTTATTGCTGGAACCATATTAAATCTCTAAAGTGAGTTCCCTTACAAGGGCCCACCTGGGTAATCCAGGATGACCTCATCTTGAGACCCTTAATTATAACCGCAAAGACCCTTTTTCCAAATAAGCTCACAAAAGCATAGGCTCAAGGTAGAAGCCCCAGGTGGCTGGCTGCCTGGCCCACCCTGTGCAAAGACTTAGTGGCTCAGGGGACAGCCATGACCATTGAGAAACATGCCCCACATGTGAGTCACTAGCTCAAAGACTGTCATATAAGGTGAGGAATGAGACCCCTGCAGGTAGTGACAGATGGCAAAAACTCTATGGCTCCAAAATCATTCCTCTGCCAGAATGGCCATTACCACTCTCCTACCATTGACAAACTCATATTCAACTGTTAAGACCCAGCTCAAGCATCACCTCCTCCATGATGTCTGCCCTGCTCTCTTCTCCCAGGGAGCCTCCATCCCATTTGTTGCTGTGCCCATGTGATCTTCATCTCTGTATCTCCACATCCTGGCAAGGGCCTGGAGTAGGCCACAGGTGCCATGACTTTACGCTGAAAGCCCACCATCCCTCCCGCACAGAGACAAAGATCTGAATCTGAAGGTTGGCATGTGGCAGCTCCTCCAAGATCCCCCCACCCCACCTTCACCTCATCGTTGCCCTCCAGGTTCCAGCCTCTACCAGGAAGGAGCATCTCCCAGCATCTTCACTTGCCTTCTCTTCCTTTCTAGGCTCGTCGTGGGCGCTCCGTTGGAAACCAATGGCCACCAGAAGACTGGAGACGTGTACAAGTGTCCAGTGACCCATGGGAACTGCACAAAGCTCAACCTGGGTAAGTTGGACCTCTGGTCTCACCATAAGGAGGCCAACCATTGTCTAGGGTGGGGCAGGCTCTAAAACAGAGTCACACTGGCTCCTCCCAGCTGCCCCAGAGGTGACTGGCTGGTATCACTGCCCCATTTTATAGATGAGGATGCTGAGGCCAGAGAGAAGAAGCAACTTTCCACTGTCACACAGCTTGTTAGGGGCTAGCCAAAAATCAAACCCTGGCTTCCAGTGCCCCAGGGCATTGCTCTTTCTGATTCATCCACTGCCCGGAGCACTAACAACAGCAGCTAACACTCATACATCATATATAATGTTCACTCTGAGTCAGGCACTGGTTTCAGCACTTTTAGGTGTTGTGACTCATTTAATCCCCACAAGAATTTCTATGAAATTTAATCATTAAACAAAGGAGGAAATGATTATATGTGGAGTGAGGGGACCTGCCAGGGGTCGCCCAGCTAACAAGCAGCAAGGCTTGGATTTCAATCCAGGCAGCCGACAGCCACTGCGTAACACCAGCTTCTGAAATGCAGGCTTTGTTCCTCACTGAAGAGCTGTCAGCCACAGGGAAATGCTGTGAGCAGCCTCAAAGCCTTCCAATCCCTGATAAACTCTGCGTGTGTGTCCGTGTGTGCCCGCACGAGTGCATTCACTAAAGTCCACACACCAGTCCTCTAAAGCACTTCCATTTTGTCCTAAAGGTCAGACAGTGGCCAGGCCACCACTTGCTTACAGGAGAGAGTAAAAGTTCCGTTTGGGCTGAGAATTTCAGACCTTGCCCTAGAGGACTGGCTGCCCCAGGGCCAGGACCCTCAGCCTCCCCCTCTTCCAGAAGGGGAGCCTCTACCCTAGAGCAGTGGGGTGGGGCTCTCTGGGGAGGTGGGGAAGATGGCAGAGCTCCAGGACATAAGTAGATGGATGAAAAGGCCTGCATCAAAGAGAAAGCCCAAAGAACTCAGATCTCAGTGGCAGCCCGCTCTCCCATCACGGGGTGCTGGACGCTCCTGCTGTTCATATCTGCGTCAGCACAACGGGTGGGAAGTTCAAACCCCAGTACAGCTGAGGCCCAGACTTCAGGAGGGAACAGTCTAAGGGAGGTGGGGGCCTGGCTGGTGGCTTATGGATCCTGGTCATTACCACTCTGAGAGTACAGCTCCCAAAACAGGCCAAGCTGGGTCTCTTTTTCCAGCTGTGCAGTTTCTTCACTGTGTGTTCATGGGGAGCTCGTATCCTCTCTCTGAGCCTCTATTTGCTTGTGTGCAAAATGAGGGGGGTGGGCTTGATAATCCTAAGATCCATTCCAGTCTAATAGGTCTCCCAAACTTTAATGAGCATCTATGATGTGCTAAGCATGATGCTAGTTACTAAGGATACAGCAGAGAACAAGACACCAAGGGCCCCACTGGAAGGAGACAATAAATGAGTAGACAAACTAAGAAGAAGGATCAGTTCAGCTAGAGATAAATGCGGTGTGATAAACCAGGGCGCGACAAGAGAGGCTAAGTGAGGAGGAGGTGGGTAGGGGTCCTACCTTGGCAAGGTGGCCAGGAAGGCCTCTCTGAGCAGGTAACATTTGAGCAAAGTCTGATGGTGAAAAGGAGTCAGGTAGAACCAGAGCATTCCAGGAAAAGGAAGAGCACATGCAAAGGCCCTGAGGTGGGATGTCTGCTCTGTTGGAAACAGAAAAAATGGCTATATGGCTGGGGCAGAGGGAGCAAGAGGGCTTATGAAAGGTATGGGCACTGGGCTCAGGGCCTGGGCCACCAAGAGAAGCTCCTGGTCCAGGTGGGGACACATGCATGAACTGATCATTTAATTTCCTCTGTTGCTCTGGTTTCCAATGTGGACCCAATTTCCCTGCAAGGGAGGAGCTCCTGCTGGCAGTGAGAAGCCATTAGACCCTGGAAAACATTCCTGAACTGGGACATAAGCTGGGCAGCAAAGTGAGTCAGGGCAGAGGAAAAGTACTGTCATGAAGCCCTTCGTCTCAGGAGTGTCCTTTCCCCACCACTGAAGAGAACATGCACAGCAGGGAGACCATCTGTCGGTTCATCCCCACAGTGGAAAATGCAAGGCAGGGAAACCTGAGTCCTGGGTTTTCCCATGGCCTTCCCAGGTCTGAGCCCTGCCAAGCCAGGAATGTTCTTTCCTCTCTCTCCAGGGAACGCTAACTGGATGTCAGTCATTCACACCTCAGTGTGAAAGACTAGGCAGCTGGTGCTTTCTTCCCAACACCTGGATGAAGTTAAGAGTTTTCATGAGGAGCTATGATTCTGGAAGGCAGGCCCTGTGTAAGGAGAGGCTTATGTCCCCAGACCCTCACAGAGACCTACTGAAAAAGGCGTTGGTCTCTTCTGGTCACAGAGCAGAGGTTAGTGACTGCCCCAAATCCACGAGCAGCAGAAGCAGCAGAAGCAGGGCTTGAGCCTTGAGTCTTTCTTACGGCAACACAAGGGTCTTCCCTACCATGCCCATTGCTCCCGGGCAGGCACAGTTTCACTAAGAACTTCAGTTATTGAGACAAGGGAGAGGAGGAGGGGGCAGGGTGAGGGGAGGGAGGTGCCCCTTAAATAAACAGAGGACAGAATTCTTCAAACTGCTGAGGGGTGGATGTTGCCCAGCTGGGGCTTGGAACTTCCTCTCCAGACTTCTCACTACCATCCAATGTCACCACAGCCCTGCCATCACATGGGAACGTCAGGATGTAACCTTGGATATCGTGGGTTCAAGTCCCCACTCTATCGTTTACCAGCGATTGCCTTTGTAGGAGTCACCAACCCTTTACGCACCTTAATTTTTCTCAACTATAAAGTGGAAATAGTGACTTCTGGACCTCCCAGGACCAAGAGGGGGTCCTGGAAGGGCACGTGTGGATGGTACTTTGTAAATGATATGAGATGATCTAAAAAAACAACAACACAGGGTCATTACTATTACTTTCTCTCTGGTTTTTTTGGATAGACAAAACAGAAAACATTCCCAGCCACAGCACAACCAAGAGGGGCTGGATTTCAAAAGGAGCCTGACTACAAACTGAGGGAACCCAAAGGGGAGCAGCAGCAAACACAGTCAGGCGGCTGTGGCTCTGGCCTCTGCTCATCTCTGCTAATGCCCACCCCAGGCCCTGCTGGCCTGTGCGCAGAACTGGCCAGCTCTTCCTACTTTCAGTGCCAATGATGCTAAATGCAAACCATGCTCCTGAGGCCTCTAGAGATCACTCCCTCCCCCTGGGGAAGGAGACACTAGATCCACCTCCCAGCAGATTAGGGTCGACTAGTTCTGAGCTCAACAAAATGCCCGACCTGCTTCCCCGAAACTCTCCCTCCATGTGCCCATACCTATGTGTGCATGAACACCTGCAGTCAGTCATGCATGCACACGCATAGGCTCACATACACGCACATATACTTACATGTCAACATGTGTCTGAGGAATTCTAGCTCACTTCCTTCCTACAGAATGATCTCATAAAACCTTAACTGATATAATTTATTTAGTAATTCTAATCTGCCACCACCCTCTCCCTGCATCCAGTTGGCTGATAATCCTTCTCTTTGGCATTCTTGACAAGACCTTGTACCTCTACAAGGCGCTTGTTAGCTGGCTATTTGCTACCCGTGAGACAGAGTCAGTTATCATCATCAGTTTTTCAGGGGAGCAGAGAACCAGGCCCCGAGAGAGCAGGGCAGGGGATGGGTAAGTTTCGGTGGCAGGTTGGCTTAAAGAAACATGGGGAGGAGACACTGCCCAGAGAAAGCCAGCCCAGGTATGGTGCCCGGGGTGTGTCAGGTGGGACACAAGGGGAATGTTGGGGTCTATCAGAACGCTGGAGGAGGAAAAGCTCTGGAATAGGAAACGGAAGGCTCTGCCATGTGCTTCCTATGTGACTTTGGGCAGGTTGCTTGGCCTCTCTGAGACTCATTTTCCTCATCTCACAGGGAGTTTTCAGAGGAAATAAGACCATGTCTGGCCAAGGCCTCAGTACACCGTGAAGGTCTGCACCAATGTGCAGGGAGAATTGGGGAGGACTCAAGTGACACCAATCCTGTCACAGCCATCTCTGGTGGCCAGTGGCAGCAGCAAACTCTGGGTGGAAGGTGGGCAGGGGGGCTTCAGGCTGAGCTTCTCCCTTCCCCCCCAGGAAGGGTCACCCTCTCCAACGTGTCTGAGCGGAAGGACAACATGCGCCTGGGCCTGAGCCTGTCCACCAACCCCAAGGACAACAGCTTCTTGGTAAGAGCCACCCACCCCACCCTCTCTCCAAGCGCCAGCCCTCCTGCCCCATGGACCCTCCTCTCGGGACCAGGAGAGGCCTCACACACGCTCTGCCTGCCCAGAGCTGCCTGCCCGCATGCTCCAGAGAGCAGCTCCTCTGCTAGCTTTCTGCCTGTGCCACTCTGGCTGCTGTGCCCTAAATTTCAGTGTCTGTTGGGGGGTGGGAGAGTCTAGGCAAGAAAAAGGATTGAGCCCTTTTATGCACATACCCTGAGGGTGGGGGACAGAAATCCTGAAAAGGAACAGGAATAAAGGCCAGCAGTCCGATGGGGGCCTCTCCTTTCCTTTGGGGAGCCAAATGTCCAAGGCACAGGCCGAATCTCTGCTCTGGGTTTGATCAGAGAAATAGGACATACCACACGCCCTAAAAAACTTTGAAGAGAAGTCAAAAATGAGTGAGCACAGCTTTACTACAACCAGGGGAAGGGCTACAGAGCCATGGGCCACCCGAACTACACAGGACTAGAGGGAAGACTTCCCAGAGGAGGTTTCTGTTTCGTTTTTTAAAGAATAGACACCTTAACAATGACGAAAGAGGAGAGGGTACTTGAGCTGAGGTGAGAGAGACATTTATTCATTTTAACTACAGTTATTTTGAGCACTCATAATATACTGAGCCCAGTGCCAGGCACTGGGGATTCAGCAGTCAGCGGAGCCCCTGCCCCTGCAGCTTACATCCTGGTTCAGGGATGAGCAGTAAACAAATGGATGACGTCAACACGATGTTGAACCGGTAAGGACAGGAATGCGTGGAGGGTCCGCAGCCTGCCCCCGTGAGCGCACGCAGGCTTTGCATGCAGCAGGCACGTGCATGTGGCGCGATGGAGGGAGCTGCCTGCTCCTTGCCACCTGGGTCCAGTGAACCACCATGATCTTGGGTGAAGCTGCGGATTCAAAACAGGATCCTTCTGGGACCTACTCCTAGAAACAGCTATGAGAGAAGATTCCAGAAAAAAATTACCCCAGAAAACCCAATAAAATATACCACTCATGTTAAGATGGGAGGGCTTGTGTCACTCTTTGTTCTTGTCTGTCAGTGCATTTCTGTTGACAGAAGAGACCCCTGGGGTGTGGAGCACAGACACTAGAGCAGTGAGATGTCTGGATGCTCAGGGACTTGAGAGCACAGTGAGTCTGCTGGCAGAAGTCCCGAGGTGCTCGTTGTGTGGTGGGCCCACAGCCCTTCATCATCTCCACCCAAGGGCAGCAGGAACCCGGGCTCTGTCCCCACACATACTTTTCAGGGGCTTTGTTGCTACTCCCTCTTCTCTCTGAGGCTCTTCATCATGTTCCTACTCACTTGATTTCACCTACTTCACAAGGTGGGATGAAGGCCCGAGGATGATGTGACATACCCTCTGGGGTCTCTGTGGGTAGGTTTAGTCCCTGGCATATAAATAGCAACTTTTGTTAGCTCATTAGCTCGTCCACTCATCCATCCATTCATCAGTCCATCCCCCAACCAATCATCCATCTCTCCATTTATCTATCCAGCCATCCATTCACTCACTCACCCACTCATCCATCTGTATATGTATTCACCCCCTCCTCCTCCCACCTAATCACCCATCCTTCCATCTAGCCTTCCTACATCCATCCATCAGCTATCCATCCACCCATCCATCATCTTTCTATCCACCTATTCGCCCATCCATCTGTCCAGCCATCCATCGTCCTTCGTGCATCATCCGTCATCGACCATGCATCTTCCATCATCCATCCATCCATTCATCCAGCTAGCCATTCGTCACCCATCATTCGCCCTCCCATTCTTTATTCTCCCCCACTTCCAAAAATAATTTACAGCAGTTTCAACAAAGGATACCAATAAAACCAAACCTTTAAAACCTGAGTAAAAATAGAAAGCTAATTAAATAGAGGGATTGGAAGTGGAATAATTATTCCTCCAAACCAAAGGGAATTTACAGCACAAAATTTAGTCCTGCGTTTCCCAGCAGCAGAAGAAAAATCGAGACGTGGAGCTGGGCTTTCATTTTTAATGAGACACTGAGAGTAACTCATTTCTCAGTCTTTAAATGAGGGGTTGATATCAATGTTTTTGGTAGCAAATTTCAGAGAAGGAGTAGAGACATTCTTTTTTCTACCCCTAGTAAGAGCCATGGACATGTCGGCAGGATGAAGTCCTAGAATTTTGCCCAGGAAGGACCTTTAGGGAATGGAGGTGACCTGTCTGAACAGGTCACCTCCATTCCCATGGGTGAAAGGGCTTCCCCAGTCTGTGTGGCAGGTGGGTGGGCAGGTAGGGTGAAGAGAAACAACCGTAGATGGTGGGATGGAGAATGAGACCTTTGTGAATAGATAAAGGGGGACTGTAGGGTTAGTTTTCCTCCATTACACCTGAAACCAAGGAAACTGGCAGCAAGAGAGTTTAGGTGGACTCAAAGAAGACCCTCTAAAGCCTGGGGACACCAACACTCAGATAGGAGATGTCGGCCTTGGGTCATGGAGGTTGGGACTAGGCCGAAGGCTGCCAGGTCTGGACCCACCCTGAGACCCCCACTGACTTGGGGTCTATGCTATGTTTCCAGGCCTGCAGCCCCCTCTGGTCTCACGAGTGTGGGAGCTCCTACTACTCCACAGGGATGTGCTCGCGAGTCAACTCCAACTTCAGATTCTCCAAGACTGTGGCCCCAGCTCTCCAAAGTAAGTGGCTTCAAATATGCAGACTCAGGCTGAGCAGCCAACAGTCCATGGGAGGCTCGGGGCTCTGGTCACTGCTATTCTGCATCTACAAGCAGCACTGGGACTCTGCTCTGGCTCTGTGGATGACCAGGACAATTCACTTGACTTCCCTGGGCCTCTGTGGGGTCATGATCTTGGCCCACCCTCCCCCACAGATTAAAGATGGAGGGCAAATGAGCTAAGGTTCTAAAGGCAATCCTGGTAGCCAGAAAAGCCCACTGCAAACCCAGCCTGAGTGAGGAAAAAGTTGCTGGGCCGCATGTACAGCAGGCAAGCTATGCGCTGCACAATCCTGGGGACATTGTTCATTTAGACTACAATGTGAATGGTGCCCTTTAATGTTATACAGTTCAGTTGCCCTGTAGGTGGAAAACCAAGGAGAACAGAAATATCCCTGGTAATAGTCCCATTGAACCAGTGTCCCTCGACCTCAGGAAGCTCTGCCCTATTTTCCCAGAGACTCATGGAACATGGAACCTCACATGCACTCCCTATCCACCAAGAAAATCTGGGAAATAATGCTCAGACTGCCTCCTGCAAGCCCGGACTACTTGGCTCCAAGCCTCACTATTTCCTCTGGGCTAAATACCATTGGCCAAGCAGCTGCTCCCTGTTTTATTGAGGGTGAGGGGATTAGTGCCTCTGGCTGGCTGCAGCCTCCCTCCAAACAACAGGGCCCAGTCAGTGATGGAAAGATGATGCTTGCAGAAGAGACAAGGAAGCGTCGCTCCAACTGGGGCTAGAAAGGGGTTGTCTTAGAGCAATGAGGAGACATTGATTCTATTCTCACAAAATGGGAGAGGGAAAGGCAGTGCTGGGGCTCTGGAGGGGGCCAGAGGTGTGTGCAGGGACCGTCACCTCCCCCTCCCACAGGGCTGCTATTTCCTCTCAGCAAGGTATGACAGTCTCAGCCTCCAGAACCTCCTGTGGTGGAGGCCTCCCACCAGATGACCAGCTGCAGAGCCTGGGGAGCTTATCAGATACAGATCCCAGGGTGGTTCTCACTCAGCAGGTCTGATTAGCCAGCTGCAGGGTGTGTGCTCGTGTGTTTGTTTCCGTGGAGTGGTCAGTCATGTTTAGGAACCACAGACCTAAAGCAAGATTCTTCCCAAGATATCTAATTTTATTTTTAATTTAAATTTTTTTTTTCAATTACAGTTGATATTCAATATTATATTGGTTTCAAGCATACAGCATAGTGGTTAGACATTTATTTAACTTACAAAGTGACCCCCTGGATAAGTCTGGTACCTCCCTGAGATCATATAGTTATTACGATATTACTGACTCTATGCTGCACTTTGTAACTGCCAGTTTCTTAATCCTTTCACCTTTTGCCTAGCCCCCAACCCCCAATTTGTTTGTTCTCTGCATCTATGAGTTTGTTTCTGTTTTGTTTGTTCATTTATTTTGTTTTTTAGATTCCACATATAAGTGAAATCATACAGTATTTGTCTTTCTCTGTCTGACTCATTTCACTTATCATAATTCCCATAATTTATTTTTTTCTTAAAAAGAAAATTTGAAACTGTAAAAACAATCAGCAGTAATAAAGACATTTTAATAATAAAAACTTGCTTAGAAATCAAAGAAACCTGGTCCCTACCCCTAGATTCGAAACCCCTCCTAATGAAGGAGTTTCTGTCTCCACCACCCCTGTGGCCGCCCGTCACATGGGGCCCTGCACATGGCGGGTGCTCAGTACGTATGTTGAGCTGAACCAAACTGCGAAAGGACAAAGCTACCAGGTGCTGTCAGTCCGAAATGTCAGAGCATTACATGCTATACACAGTGTGCCGATGGGACAAAAATGTCTCGAAACTTCTCCTAAAACAGAGGTGACTCTGAGCATTCAAATCACGCAAATGCTTCTAAAGTGCCCTCCAGACACAGAGCCTGCAATGTGCTCTTGGGCTCAAAGCCACCACCTTCCTCTCTCTGGGGATCACTGGCTTCAACACACTGGGTCTTCATGATACAGGAGTTGCTGAAATGTTCACACACAAAAGCCTCCTGCCATATGTATTGCTGTAAAGTAGATTTTATAACTGAAAAGTCTCCATTAGAAATAAGCAGATGCCCAATATTTCAATATGATATGACATAGTATAGTATATATTGGAACATATTGTGTCATATCATGTCTTATTTCAAAGTAATCCCAACCATTCACAAACAGAAATAAATTGCTTAGATTTTAAAAGAAGTTTTTACATTTATTCACATGATCTATGTTTCATTAGATTTTTTGTTGGTTTTTATAATTTGTTTTAATTTGGCATTAATATTACAAAAATGTAGAGAACCCTTTACACTCAGAGTGGAGATACAGGCATGACAGCTTGACCCATGATATCATTCCCACATTAGCCAAGTGGTTTGCTTTTCAAGAAAAATAATTATCAGCTAAGATTTCTGAGCACTTACTTGGTGCCCAGCCCTTTAGAAGTAGCATCTGGTTAATTCCTCAGAGAATCCTCTACTATCATTATGCTTATTTTACAGAAGAGAAAACTGATGCCAAGATGTTAAGTGACTTGCCAAAGTCAAAACCAGGAGTCAAACCTTTTCCACATTCCTAACCATTACACCATACCACCCTCCTAAAAAAGTGAAATCCATTAATTCAGGCTGAAAGTGATAAATGCCAGCCTGCATGTTACAGCAAAACAAATGATGACCAGGTGCTGCTTTGGGCAGTGTTGGCTGCCTCAGAAACATTGACCCTGGGACGGTGGTCAGTCCCCGATGAGCAGAGTCCCTGAGGAGCAGAGGCAGGAGGGTGTAATTAAGCTTTGTTCAAATAGCCGGCACTGAGCAGTGGAGCAGAGCCAGGAATTCTGGGCTTGCCATTCGCATTGCCCAAATCAATGTCCTGCCCAAGGACGGCTCCCCAGCCCAGGGAATTATGCGCGTGTAACAAGGCCCTCCTTCTATTGTCTTTTGGACAATCATCTGGAGAATCAGAAACTGGCAGACACTGGCTCCTTGGGTAACTGTGACCTTGTCCCCAACTTCCCAGGGTGCCAGACCTACATGGACATCGTCATTGTCCTGGATGGCTCCAACAGCATCTACCCCTGGGTGGAGGTTCAACACTTCCTCATCAACATCCTGAAGAAGTTTTACATCGGCCCTGGGCAGATCCAGGTGAGTGTCTCTGGGACTCTCCTCCTCTGAACAGGGTAGATGCTGCCTTGGGGTGCAAGGAGAGAGTCTGTGTATGAGCCAAAAAAGTGCAGGTGAAAGGGCCAGCACCAGGGCCCTGCAGCCCAGGACCCCCTTCTCTGCTGGGCTCGTCAAGGGAGAGTTTAGGGGAGACTTCACTTCTAAGGTCAAACACTGAGATAGTCACCACCTATTAGGAAAGAGTTTGACCCACTACAGAGTGAGAAGGAAGGTGGTAAATGTTGAGTAGCACGCAGACCTTGCTGAGCGAGGCACAGGGGAAAGTTAGACACATTGATCTTAGAGAAAAGGCTGGGAAGGAGGCCATCGCTACCAGCACACACTGAAACACTGCCTGGCTAAAGGGAGGAGATTTAGTCTGTATTGTTTTGGCAGTGAGTTGATTTAGTTCATATTGTTTCTGCAGGCCAAACGAAGACTAATGGATAGAAGGTCCAAGGTGGCATATTTCAGATCCATGTAAAAAAATCATTTTGTAATGATTAGAGCTGTTAAAAAGGGAGTGGGCTTTCTTATGAAGTAATGAGTTCCCCAGCACTGGAAGATCATCCTGTATCGTGGGTGAAAGTCCAGCATCAGAAATGTACTTGTATGGAATAAACTCTGGGCCCACCCAACAGTAACATTTTATAATCTAATTCTACTGTAGCTCTTTAAGGCTTTTTATTTTGAAGTTACTAATATTGTCAATATTTTATCAACCTTAGGGATAAAAGGACCTTTCCTCTTCCAAGTTTTAAGGAACATTAGTTGCAGAGTTGGGCGAACAGTGCCATGGCCTCCACCTATGCTACTCCTAATATTTGAGGTTCCAGTTCTATGCTCAACTTTCGTCTTTTTAAGCAAGAAACTTAACCTGTTGGACTTTTCTTTACACCACAGTCTCCTCTTGCAATATGCACCTCCCACTGTCTCACCAAGCCATCTGTTTAGTCCCACACTTTTCCGAACCAGCCTCCCCTCAGTTTGGGAAGGTCCTAGCACTCCTTACTCTTGAACAGTCACAGACAGAAAGATGACTCCAGGGAACCTCACCACCAAATGTCTAAGATTCGGGGGTCAAGATGTTCCAATGCCTTCTCCTCTCTCTTGAAGGTTGGAGTTGTTCAGTATGGAGAAGACGCGGTACATGAGTTTCACCTCAATGACTACAGGTCTGTAAGAGACGTGGTGGAAGCCGCCAGCCACATTGAGCAGAGAGGAGGAACAGAGACCCGGACGGCATTTGGCATAGAATTTGCTCGGTAAAAAGAAAGAAAAAGAAAGCTTTTAAATTGTTTTAAATCTCAGATACCATTTTAGTTATATATTGCTGTGTAACAAACCCCCACATAATTTAGTACCTTGAGATAATTTATTAATCCCTCAAAGCTCTGGGGATTGGCTGGGCTCAGCCTGTTAGTTCTCTCTTGGATTTTTCTCATGTGAAGCCTGGTGTCAGCTGGGGCTGTTGTCATCTGAAGGTTCAGCTGGACTGGATGTCCAAAATGGCACAGTAGTGTGACTAGCAGCTGATGCTGGCTGTTTGTGGGAACCCAGCTGGGGCTGAAGACCTGAGCACCCACACATGACCATAAGACTTGGCTTTCTCATGATATGGAGGCTGGGCTCTGAGAGGCAGCATCTCAAGGGAGAGTTTTCCAAGAGATCCACGCAGGAACTCTGAGAATGCCCATGACCTCGCTGCAGAAGTCCCAGAGTATAGCTTTGATTGAGCAAGTCACTAAAGCCAGCCCAGAGTCGAGGGGAGAGGATTTGATTCTGCCTCCTGAGGGAGGAAGGGCAAGGCCACCGTGCAGAAGAGCATTTGGGGTGGAAATTGGTGCAGCCAACTTTGGAAAATCTGCTCTGCCACCGTGACCCCGTAAAAAGTGTGTAGGGTCTATGAGGGCAGAATCTTCCTGTGGAGTGTTTGTCATCAGTGGAGTGTGGGGAGCATAGCTAAACCAAACATCTGAGACTGCAGAGTAATGAGGCTGCTTCCTTAAAAATCACGCCAGCACTCACTGGTAACAAACTGAATGCTGTCTCTGTCGTCGTCCACACAGACAACCATGTCTTTATTCCAGTGATGTCACCATCGCTCAGAGCATTGTGCTCACCCACCACTGAAATCAGTGAGTGATTTTAAAGGCAAATCCCCAAGATCTTTTGAGCTGAGGCCTAAATTCCTAAGATGACTATATCCAAGGCGTTTCGATTTTAAATTATAAACTTCACACCTGGGAATATGAGTTCTGTTATGTTCGTTGAAACCACGGTCCCAGTTCCTTACAATCCCACCTTGCATAGGGTTAGTCAGTGTGTTTCCCAGAATCCTCAGTCAGAGCTATATAGTAGTAACATGACTTCATGCGGTCAAAAGATTTTTTTCCTAACCTCACATCCCTTTATGATTAAGTTACTGCTCCACTAACATATTTCTGTTTGCTGCTAAACCTTGCTCGAGCTTTCTCCCTAAATGAGCATCCCTCTGTGTAAAAGTGGCTCTTACTCATTCTCATGAGGAACAGGCCATTTTGCTGTTCTGTCATCATTGGGATGAGCCCCTGCAGCCCCAGCAGGCTCTTGTGAAGTGTCTGGGGCAACAGAGGAAGCCTGTGCCCGTGGAGCTATCCTTCCTCCCTGTGAGGCTAACTGCCTCACACAGGGAGGGAGCCCGCTGTTCTGATCTCATTTCGAAGCCCACCGACCCCAGGGCAACTGGAAGTGTGACTCGCCAGGTGGTTTGAATAGTTTAGGACTCATTCGACTGCTGGGGTGTGCAATCTGCACTTCAAGTACGTGTGAAATCTAATCTTCCCAGTCTACCAAGTTTGGGTCCCAAATTATAACCAGTGCCTCTGAAGAGAAAAGGTTTTCTCTCCTTACTCATTTATTCATATTACATTTTTGCTGTGCACCTACTAAAGTACAAAGATCCCAGCCATGGACTTGAGGAGTTACAGAGATAGTAACCTGTGGCGTCTGGACCAGTAGGGGAGCTCTGAAAAGTGTCACCCTAACTCGATGAGGATGAGAGAGGGAGGGATCCAAGGAAGGGGCTGGGAGGACTGCCAAGACGGGTGGCACTTGACCTGTCCTAGGAGGACTGCAGGATTCCATCAGGGAGAGGGGGAGAGAAGACGTTCCTCAGAAGACAGTATGCCCTGACAAGGACAGAGGAGAGGGAAAGTCGAGGAATGAGGAACATTTACATTTCAAGCCATGCTCTGACCACAGCTTGGGGCTCATGG